CGCTGATTCTCCAATACAATGGTTAAAAACTTTACTGGTGGGACTTTTTGCCTTCGTAGATTCTCTAAATTTGGTTTTATGCAAAAGTTTAAAAAAGCCAATTTACTTGGTACTGAAAATACCAAACATTCTCAGTAACTCTTTAATAAGAAAAGTTAAGATTAAAACTATTATGTATCTACGATGTCAATCTAACCTAAAATTTACTTTCATTTGTCGTGAAATGTGACTCTTTGTGCAGGGTTACCAACAAAGGATAAGACTGTAAAGAAGGCTTGAAACTCTTTAAACATGAAAATCCCAAGCTGAAAGTCTTATAGATTTGGTAAACAAACATAAAGATTTAAAGAATTGCAGGGAATCATGAATATAAGAAACAGACAGTTTAAATTCCAAACAGTCGTCTATAAACTCAACCCTGACTAACCAGGGCGAGATGCATTTAAATGGCTTATTTTATGGAAAAAAAGAAATTTAAATTGCATATTTAATGAAAAAAACGAAAGAAGTTTAAGGGAATCATGAATATAATGAAAAGACGGCCTCTGTGTTGGGTAACCCTGTATTCAGAGGAATACATTCTTTTTAAATCAAAAGACTTTAGAAGGTACTGGAGGTAAACAGTATTAGATACGATGAAGAAATAAATAAATATAAGAAGAAAGTACACTGCATGAGATTACTATTAAAAAGCATTAAAGTGATATTTTGGTGTATTTAATGTTTGTAATAAGCAAATAGTTTTACAAGTAGCTTATTAATATACTTTTCAAGTAAAATAGGTCTGTTTCCACTACAAAATTGATATATGTGTCGTCTCATGTTTAAAATCATAACTTGAGTCAAAAGGTCCTCTTCCTGTTCATGAGTTTTATGATTATCACTGTATATATAAGAAAAATAAATTTGATCATTTATCTTAAAACAAACTTTATAAAAGCCGTACATCTCTGATTTTAAGTTTTATCAAACTCTAAAGATAAAAAAATCCTTAAAAATAACATATTTATTGAGCGTAAGAAAGTAGAAGGTCGTCTTCTGTAACCCCGAAACATGTTTCAAGAATCTGTATTTCGTCTTCCCAATCCTCATCCTAAAATATACAGTGGTAAGCGATTTTATCAATACAATGCAGACAGAATCTATTAACAAATAGACACAAACCACCCTAAATCTTTATATATTGTACGAAAAAAAAGGTGGCTATTTGTCCGGACTAGCTAGGATGTTTTTTAATAAAATAACTAGATTGGANCTTGAATAGAGCAAACTAACACTTAAATAGACCAAACTATATACATAAATAGAGTAAACTAACACCTACATAGAGCAAACTAACACCTAAATAGAGCAAACTAACACCTAAACAGAGCAAACTAACACCTAAATAGAGCAAACCAACACCTCAATAGAGCAAACTTTACACCTAAACAGAGAAATCTAACACCTAAATAGAGAAAACTAACACCTGAATAGAGCAAACCAACACCTAAATAGAGCAAACTTTACACCTAAATAGAGCAAACCAAAACCTAAATAGAGAAAACTAGCACCAGAATAGAGCAAACTAACACCTAAATAGAGGAAACTATACACTTAAATAGAAAAAACTATACACCTAAATAGAGCAAACTAGCACCTAAATAGAACAAACTATACACCTAAATAGAGCAAACCAAACACCAAAATAGACACACTATACACCTAAATAGATCAAACTAACACCTAAATAGAGCAAACTAACACCTGAATAGACAAACTATACACCTGAATAGAGCAAACTTTATACCTAAATAGAGCAAACTATACACCTAAATAGACCAAACTAACACCTAAATAGAGCAAACTATACACCTGCATAGAGCAAACTATACACCTGAATAGAGGAAATTATACACTTAATTAGAGCAAACTATACACCTAAATAGAGCAAACAAACACCTAAATAGAGAAAACTAACACCTAACTAGAGCAAACTAACACCTAAATAGAGCAAACTAACACCTAAATAGAGCAAACTAACACCTAAATAGAGCAAACTAACACCTAAAGAGACCAAACTATACACATAAATAGAGCAAACCAACACTTAAATGGAGCAAACTATACACTTGAATAGAGCAAACTAACACCTAAATAGAGCAAACGAACAAATAAATAGAGCAGAATAAGACCTACGTAGAGCAAACAAACACATACATAGAGGAAACTAACACCAAAAAACTATATAGCATCTAAAATTGCTAACTGGAAACTGTTTTTATATGTCATTTCAAGTTCAATACTGCATCAAGTTTAATACTTGTCTCTGTATTATTAGTATTATATATTATATTAGTATTGATGCCAATGTCTATGCTTGACTTAATGTCTATAGTAGTATATTACCCCCAATATCTATACTTGACTTAATGTCTATAGTAGTATATTACCCCCAATATCTATACTTGACTTGATATCTAAAGTAGTATATTGCTCCCAATATATTTGCTTGATGTCTATATAGTATATTACCCCAAACGTCTATGCTTGACTTGATGTCTATAGTATAGCATGTTACCCCCAATGTCTATATATATCCCCCAATATATCTTCTTGAATTGATGTCTTGAATTAATTAATTGGTATATTACCACTGATGTATATGCTTCACTTGATGTCTATTGTAGTAAATTACCCCAAAGACTTTGTTTGATGTCTATTGTAGTATATTACCCCAAATTTCTATGCTTGACTTGATGTCTAAGTATTATTTTACAGCCAATGTCAATGCTTGACTTAATGTCTATTGTATAGTATATTACCCTCAATGTGCTTGAATTGAGGTCTATTTAGTATATTACCCCTTATACAGAAATACTGATCTGTAGATGGGAGCTCAAGTCTAAATGATTTCCCATTGCATATTATCTGAAAGTAAAATATAAGTTTAAAAATTTAGATTAGTTGTTACTACGCCGGATGATATGGAAGTGAAGCTAAAAAGGCCCTACAAGGCCCGATGAAAACTTGGTACCGCTCGTCTACCGCTCCTACGCGCTCTTTTTGCGCTTACTCGTACCGGCCTCATGCTCGTACCAAAAAGTTTATAGTTTTAAAGGGACTATTCCTGACAATTTGGATGAATCATCCAAATTGCTGTACTCGAAGAATTAGGGTGGTTTAGCCAGCCTCAGACCTGACTGCTCCAGTCTGACTGCTCCATTCTGGTTCAATTCTTCTCTTCTCCACGGGCAGCCGTAGTACATTTAAATTTCCGAGTTTGTACTGTACCTAGCTCTATGGACAGGTTTGTATTGTACCTAGCTCTATGGACAGGTTTGTACTGTACCTAGCTCTATGGACAGGTTTAGCCGGTGCAACATGGTTGATGCGGTCAGACTTTATGCTGCATATAGGTTGAATTTACTTTTACTAAAGGGGCATATTTTCGTGTCCCTGCTATCTTCATCTCTGTGGACTCAAATAAACTACTACAACTTATGATATTCCTTCTATTCTCCTGTTTTTCCATGTTTCAATAAATCTTTGAATTTGTCCCAGCGCAACAAATAATAATAATAACAACAATATTAACAAAATTAATAATAATAATGATAATAATAATACAAATGATAATGAAAATTCACTGACCCAATTCCCAATCCTTGTACTGATTGTACTGTACTGTGTGCGCATCCTGTTCTGTGTCTGTACTGCATGTTACTTCGCTAACACTTCCCCTTGAAAATACTTATGTAAAATATCTTAAAAGTACTGTCAACATATTTTTAAGTGTTTCTGAATTTAAAGCGTTGGATGCTGGAATATGGTTTCTTTCAGTCCTTTATCAGATTGACAATGATGAACCACAATCAAAAACAATCAGTTTTAAGATGGAAAATAAGGTAATATTTGTCTGTACAAAGGTGCAGTAAAGGGTAGTCTTGTGAAAAAGACGTTGAAGTCACTTCTTCTGTCACTTTAACTTATTATTATCTAATTTTTAAATACATTTTTGATGATAGTTTTAATAATTGTTCGTGCATTTTTTGATTTTATGAGAAGGAACGTTTTGTTTTTATTGTCTCTTTGAAGAATTTATTCATTAACTCACCTTTCCTCTGTTTGCGCCAATTTATCATATCTTTTCCTGGTCCTGCTATATTCTATATCTTAGGATTATTTAGAATTTACAAAAATATACAGTATTTAAACATTCTTTTTTTTTATCCTAACATTCATTTCTAAAATTCAATAATAGTACCCTCTCCAAATCCGAAATTGAAAGGAATTGTTACTTATTTTAAACTGACTGAAGTAGGAATTTCACTAAAACAACATTACCGTAAATGTAGAAAATATATGAAATATTCACTATAGGAGCGTATCAGATGGTACAGATCTTAGTCAATTTATAGTTCTTGGTTTAATTGTTGTATATATTGTTCAAGTATAACATTTTTGAAAATGAATTGAAAGATATTGTTCCTGGTTGATGTCCCAATGATAAGACTGATGATTGCCTGAATTATCTTACTCAGGGTAAACTTTCCTTCCTAAACAAATAAAGGGACTGTACAGTGTACAGTGTACAGTGTACAGTGTAAAGTGTACAGTGTATCAAATGTTTCAAGATTTAAGCCGGTGCTAAATTTAAACCGGGTTTTGGCGGATTTAAACCGCGGCTCAAATTCTTTAAATTCCATCTCAAAAATCATAATTTCAAATATCAAAGGTGGCAAAAACTCAANCGTTTAAGCATCGTTTCTACTTGTGACGTCAGAATACAGCTGTACTGAGAGTGTACAAATTCTACGTTGCCATCTATTGTACTAGAATCTATTTGGTAGGGATCAATTATAATAATTCAAAAATATTTTAGTACACAGTTCCTCAGACGAAACTAACTAAAGAAAAATGTGTTTAGAAGGAAAAGAGATGAGAACGAAAAATGTGAAGAAAAGAAAAAAATTAAAAGGAAGAAAAAAAGAAAAAGGTTTATAACGAAATGTGTAGAGAAAGAAGAAAAAAAGGAGAACTCAGAAAAATAGGATAAGCAAAGATATAAAGGGGAAAAGGAAAAATAATGTGAACGAGAAGAAAAATGAAGAAAATGAAAAAAGATCAAGAATCAGGAGAAAGTCAAGTGATCAGCCTACAATTGGAAAAATAGAAGGTTAAGTATCTCAAACGATTAGAACAAAGGAATTGAGTCTTAGCAACAAACTCCAATTTTCTAACCCCTGTCTATATCTTTACAGCTTGCCCAATGTGGTAGACCTTAGATATTTCAAACTATGAATTCTGTTAAGTCAAATAATTTAAGCTTAAAATATCAAAGGTTAACACTGTCTGGTTGCAAAGATATAGGGATTAGAAAATTTGAATTTGTGGCAAAGACTCACTTTGAAATAGTTACGAGTTATGAGTTTTGACCTGAGTCTAAAACTAAAGAACGAAAAGTTTTGACTTAAATTTTAAGTTCATGGTTTAACACAGGGTTAAAATCTTGAAATCCTGCATTTTCCCTATTTGTCTATTATTCAATCATCATTCAGCTGAGAAAGTGGCATTCAACTTTACGATATTTTTAAAAGTGAAAACCTTGTTAAAGAAATTTCACGTTTTAGATTAATTAATTTTTGCATGTAAATCCAAAATACGGTTGTAACTCAAAATATGTTTTGTTTTCGGTTACATAATCAGCTGATTAGCGATGGTTTTGTAATATTCTCCGTAAATCCTTTTCTCTGATTGGTTTAGATTTTCCTGGTAAATTCAAATTTAAAATTGAGAAAGTTTAATATTTAAGTAGCTATTCATTATTTTACACAACTTTTAACCTCGAACTTAAAATTCGTGCATTCTTTAGTTTTAGACTCTGAAGTCATTTAAAATCTAAAACTTTTCCGTTTCTTTGAAGTTTGCGAAACGAAGGCTTAAATTTCATATGACAAAGCGCTCCCTGTTAAATTATTTCCAAATTCTATTTTAGTTTAAAAGTTCAAAACTTCTAGGATATAACAGACAGAAACACATAACAATAGCAATATATAACAACAACACAGTTGGGGGAAATAGGCTTTAAAATATAACTGGGGCAGTAAAATATATTTGGGAACAACACAAAGGATCGAAATCATTAATATTTTTTGCAAACATGTTAAAGGGACTGTCGACGATATTTCATTTTTTTTACACAGCAGCGACAAGGAAGGAAATTAAATGAAGGGTTTATTTTAAAAACTCTTAAATAAGAGAAGCTAATAGTTATGATTGGAAACCCATCCCCTGAAGTATGAGACTTCCTTCTTGGGTTCCTATACCTGTACATTTGTTTCTTTCTTTGCTAAATCATTTTGTAAATCTTAGAGACTAAAGACCAAAATTTAAACTTATATCGTATTATTTACAGATTTTTAAGTCGTACTTAAAGTCTTATCCTTTGTGGGTTACCCGTTATAAGATTGCTTAAATATCGTCTCCCTATAAGTACACATTTTTCTGGGCCTCATTGTAAATAAAACTTGCACAGTTAGCTAGTTATACCTCAATTGTGGTTGTTTGTAACCCTTGTAATACATACCTGATTATCATTCCCTGTGCAATGTCTACAGGGAGAACTAGAGGAATTATTTCCCTCAAGAGACACATTTTCACTCATTTCGCTGATATTGCGGCATTTCTTGCATCGGGCCAACGTGGAGCACGCCGTACATTTATCAGCTGATTCAAGATTGCCGTCCTTATCAACTTTAATTTTCATTTTATTATTAGATTTTACAATCTGAATACAGACAGGACAGAAAACATCTGCCTGAAATTAAGCAAGGATTAGTGTAAATAATTTAAATAATTTTTCATGTAAAACAACCATTGTAAACCCCATGAATTGCTTTAAAGAGATTGATTGAAAAAATATACATTTCTAATCTAATCTATGTTTCCTGTGTATTGCAGTTTGAACAGAAAGCAAAAACATTTTCTTTTTTCTGTTTTTTGCCTTCATCATCATCTTCATCTTCATCTTCGTCTTTATCTTCGAAAACCAATTTTTTTCTCACTTCTTCGCTCTCGCTTATTTCAAAGATGATGTGAACAAAAAAAATATAATTATATTTGATCATCAAAATACAATTTTTTTAAAAAGTAAGAAAGTGCTTGAACTTTGGTTAAAAGTTTATTTTGATTTAAAGAGTACATCAGCCAAAACTATCAAACTGTTAAACTTATTTAAACTTTGGTTTTATGGAAATTCAAAAAGTTTAGAATATATTTATCATCTATAATTTCCTTGCTTTTAGTTCTTGAGATGACTTTTCGGCTGATTTACAAGAACATGTAAAACTGTAAAATGATGAATTTGATAAAAAACAAGATAATATTTTTTTATAGAGACTGGAAGGGAAATTTCAAGAAAGTCTACATTCAAAGATAACTGATTCATTGCAATACCCTTAAAAGCTTAATCTGATTAATTATGAATTCCCCTTAAACTGAGTTAAATTGGGCATTTGCCATTTTATGCGCACATGTCCCGTAAAATTTGAAAACAAAGAGAGGGGGATTGAATTTTGTAGATCCAGAAAAATAATATCTGTGGGATGCCTGTGTAGAGACTGGCAGCTGGTGGGGTCTTAAATCTAAGACATGTGGCCGCAGTGACCGGCCTCCTGGCCTATCCTAGCCGCAGCACTCGGCCCAGAAAGTGTCATAACTTAACCTAACCCGTGGCCGCAGCGCTCTGCCCCCTAGCCTGTCCTTGCCGTAGCGCTTGGCCCAGAAAGTGTCTTAACCTAACCTAACCCTAAATAAATACTAATTTCTGGATCTACAAAATTCAATCCCCCTCTCTCTGTTTTGGAATTTTACGGGGCATGTGTGCACAACATAAAATGGCAAGTGCCAAATTTGCACATTTTCACAATTCTCAGAAACAGTTAGATGTCTTATTCTAGCGTCTCATTTGCTTATTTGTTCCTTGATGAAAAAAGTTTAATGTATAGGTTGGATTTTTGTAATTTAAATAACTTATTTGTATCATAACCATAACATATTTATTAAAAAATGTATTTTTGACGATTTGATTAAAGTTTAGAAAATTCTTTTTGAAAATTCCATATTTTCTTAAAAATATTAAAAACAGACAATTTGATTACAAATAGATTGTAAAACGTTTAAATCAGTTAAGCTTAATCTATCAAGTTAAAATCTGTCAAATTTAATCTTTAAAGTTGAAATCTGTTAAATTTAATCTTTGAAATCTGTCAAATTTAATCTGTCAAGTTTAATCTGTCAAGTTTAATCTGTCAAGTTTAATCTGTAAAGTTGAAATCTGTCAAGTTTAATCTGTCAAGTTGAAATCTGTCAAATTTAATCTGTCAAGTTCAATCTGTCAAGTTGAAATCTGTCAAGTAGAAATCTGTCAAGTTTAATCTGTCAAGTTTAATCTGTCAAGTTTAATCTGTCAAGTTTAATCTGTTAAGTTTAATCTGTCAACATTAATCTGTCAAGTTTAATCTGTCAAGTTTAATTTGTCAAGTTTAATCTGGCAAGTTTAGTCTGTCAAGTTAAATCTGTCAAGTTTAATCTGTCAAGCTAAACTATGTCAAGTTTAGATCAGCTTTCAGAAAGCCTATAAAAGAAAACTATGTATGATCTAAACCGTGTCCGTAGATACTTCGATACCGAAAAATGGAGGGATTTGTCTGATGGAGAAAAAAAGTATAAAGGGTACCGTTAAAAAACGTCCACAGTTCCTTACATAAATATATACCTTGTCTTATCTGATGTTGTTATTTCTTCATACCTTTGGGATTTTCTTGTCAAACAATTCATTTTTATATAATACTGTAAACAACAGTAGATTTAATATAAACGAAAATTTTTTTGATGTACAGGGTTAGACACAATTCACAAGGGATGAGACTTAAAGGACGACCTGATACTCTTTATTTGAGACGATCTGAATTTCTGAAGATTAAATTAATTTTGTATTTTTGATTTTACTGTCCATGTATTTAATCCAATAACAAACAAAATTTATTTTGCATAGCTTTGTGCAAAGTAGACATTTTTAGTCTTTTTTTATACACATTCATGGGTTTTGAAAATTTTGCAAATATTTTTGCATGTATGAATTTGCTGGGTTAAGGGCTTTTCAAAAATGTTTCGTCCACATGTGTTTTTGCAAGGTTTTTACTTTATAAATGGATGTTGCAATAAATATTTGGATTTTCGCGGATTTTAGATTTTTTGCAGATTATAAAAGTAGAGTTTCCAAAGATTTTCCAAAAATATGTCAAATGTTTCGGATTTGTATCACACTAATCCCCATTTTGGGATGAAGGAGACGTCAGCCTAAATAGAGTTAACTGATAGACTAAACTAATTGATTACAACGTCACGATGTGGGTAACCCTGTATCTTGATTGAATGGTTCTGGGCCTAAGTACGGTCGAAGATACACTGATTCTCTCCGTCCGTCTTTTCTTAAATCTTGAGGCCCCCCCCACCCTCCTCCGTCCTCCTTCAGTATCTATCTATCTTATACTTCCGGACTGTTTATATAAAGACCAGTAATCAAGATGTTTACATCCGTTGTAGCATAGTCAAGCATATTGGTCTATTGGTCTCAGGCTGTTTTGATTATGCAACATTAATTAACAATATGTCTATCTTCCTCACTGTCTATTTGTCTATCTTCCTCACTGTCTATCTGCCTATCTTCATAACTGTCTATCTGTCTATCTGTCTATATTTCTATCTGTCTACCTATCTATCTGTTTATCTGTCTACCTGTCTAAATTTTTATCTATCTATGCCTGAACCAGAACCTGATTCTGAGTCTGCGCCTGAACCTGAACCTGAGGCTGAGTCTGCTCCTGAACCTGAACTTGAGACTGAAGCTGGTCCAGAATCTGAAACTGAACTTGAAATCGAACTAAAACCACCTGTGAACATTGCAAACCCAGTTTTTACTTTCTGTGAAGAAAAAGAATGTACAGTTTGCCCAGTTAGACACAATGCAATTAGAGCATATGAAAAAGTAGACAACCAAATAAAATATCAGTTGGTTAATAACTATAGGAAGTTCTGTTGTTTCTCAGCAATAGATGACGAGGGAGTCAGCTGCGAAATATTGCACTGGCATTCAAAGTCTACTCTGTGTCTATCATATGAATCATTTATATAGAAAATAAATAATGTAGTTTTTCCATTTATGAATGTTGTAAACTTGTAATACAATTGTAATATTTTAATCTCTGCTACAAAATAAATATTTAGATTTAAAAAGTTTTACAAAAGTTTTTACAAAGAAATTGCATCTTCGTAATAACAGAAAAAATAAGAAATACATGATATTTAAATTGTCAATGGAATAAAAAGGTATTGAAGGTCATACAGCAGTTTAATTCTGGCCATTTTCTTTCTCTATTTTTAATTGAAAAAGAAATATTTCTTAGTTTGATAAAAGCATCTTTTGTATTTATTTATTTTAAAATCTTCACTGTTCTGGATATTATTTTTAAATAGTGTGTTTTCATTTATTTTGTAAAATTTGTTATTTTCTATGGTTTTGACATTTTTTTTTCAACAGCTAAGTCTTCTTTAAATTCCACTAGAAATTCCCCAACCACCCTCCGTTTTTATTTCATTGCCTTTGTCCTATTCAGACGAGTTTATTATTAAAAGGGATTGGTTGCAAAAATGAACTATAGAAACAAGGTCCAACAAAGAAATGTATTTTAATATCACTGAGATCTAGACAACTCTGAAGTTAGTCATCAAGTTTTATACAGCCTCGACTTTAAAGCTTCGCAACGCCTTGGCCTTTGGGTTTACCTCAACAACTTACTCATTTTTTTTGTAGCCCCAGGCATATGCATTAAAAAAAATCTAAAATGCTTGTTTCTTACCTAAAAGGAGTTATTGCTTAATACTTCTTGACTTTTTGAGAGCGCGCACATCTTGGTTTACAGGGAGATTAAAAAAGATTTACTTTCATATCATTGTTTTTTTTTCACGAAATCTCTCCCTTTAAAGTTTAAATCTGTTTAAATCCTTAAATAAAGATTTCACGGTCCTGGTCCTAAAATTCAGTTGGTTGGATTTTGTAATATTATTAGCTTCACCAGGCCGGCTAGGGG